CCGGTTCGCGTCCCGGTGAGGACACCCGGAATCTTTCTGCGTGGAGTTTGCATGTTCTCCCCGTGCAGCGTGGGTTCTCTCCGGGTTCTCTGGCTTCCTCCCACACAGTCCAAAAACATGTTGAGGTTAATTGGTGATTCTAAATCAGGGGTGCCCAATCCTGGTCCTCGAGAGCCCCTATCCAGCATGTTTTAGATGTTTCCCTCTTCCAACACACCTGATTCACATGATCAGGATCGTTTTCAGGCTTCTGCAGAGCTTGATGATGAGCTGATCATTTGAATCAGGTGTGTTGGAAGAGGGAAGCATCTAAAACATGCTGGATAGGGGATCTCGTGGACCAGGATTGGGCACCCCTCTTCTAAATTGTCCGTAGGTGTGAATGTGAGTGTGCTTGGTTGTCTGTCTCTAAGTGTAGCCCTGTGATAGACTGGTGACCTGTCCAGGGTGTCCCCTGCCTTCACCCTGAGTCAGCTGGGATAGACTCCAGCCCCCCGTGACCCTAGTGAGGATTAAGCGGTGTATAGATAATGGATGGATGTTTAGTTCAAATGGTTTTTTTGGTTTGTTTTATTCTTACATAAGTCATGTAGAATACATTGATTCTGATAAAAATTCATGATTTGAAGCTTAGATTTGCTTAAATTTCCTGACAGAGCTGCATGTCACGGACGATTCATCCAAGGACCATCAGAAAGCTGAGAATCAGTCAATTCTTTGCAGTTTCTGGCTCCGATAAATAATGTGATTTTGGGAATTTTATAAAAGAAATCATGCCTCTTAAACCCACCAGCGTTTTTTTTTTTGCAGAGGGTTAATTCATCAAAAAGATAATCAGCAGATATATCCATAATGAAAATGAGTTTTTCATAATAGTTAAAAATGACATCAACCATCAATCATCAGCCACAAAAGTAAAGTACTGCTTACACGCTATAGTATCAGCAAAATAATACAGTGCTAAAACACTCACAGGGGTCATTTATTCTCATCAAGTATATTTAATTTTGATGCTGAAATTACATTTTCTGGATTATATTTACATTATTTTACTTAAGACCCATTTTCAATGCAAGACTCTTATTTGTACTCTGGTGTTGGATGGTCAGATTTGACCACACAAAGGAAAAAACACGAGCATGTTTTAATTTATAGTTGTATTTTAGGCTTGCTTCCTCATTATTTACAGCTTTTTATTTGTATAAAAGCTCCAAGTCGTTACAGTCTGCGATTCCAGGATCTACTGTTACTGTCTATTCCTAAGGTTAGAGCAGAACGGGGAAAGAAAGCTTCTGAATTCGCTGCTCCCTCTACCTGGAAGACTTTACAAAAAGACCTGAAACTTCAACAGCTGTTTTCTTTAAATACTTTTAAAGTGTTTAGAAATGACTTGGAGGCAAAAACATCGGTCTGTAGATGTTCTGACAGATGATTATTTTGCTCGTTATGGCTCTAATCTCTGCTGATATGTTGATTTCTTATCTTCTAGATGTAATCTCAGCGTGTGTTATGATGTCTGTGTGGACGCTGTTGTGACCTCGTCAGTTGTGCTGCTGCCTGTCTTGACCAGGACACTCTTGAAAAAGAGATTTTTAATCTCACTGAGCCTTTTCCTAGTTAAATAAAGGTTAAATTAAAATAAACAATAATAAACAAATAAATAGTGAGGGAATATATTAAAACATGAAGGACAGATTCTGAACACTTCAGAGATGAACTTATGAGAGCTTTCTGTACTGAACAAAACCCTAAACAAAGGGCTGTTCTAGAGCGCCTTGATTATTACTTTAGCATTATATTGTTCCTTGAATTCAGCTTATGAAAGAAAAAACAACTGAAGGAGAAATCCTTGAAGAAAGCTGTAGTATGCGAGCACACAGAGCAGGAAGGGTGTCTGATCTCTTCACCAGGCTTTTACAGTGTAATAGATATAAAACAAATTACTACCAGTATAGTGTAATCTTTATGTCTTTTCTCACATTTTTATGTCAGGTTGCTATTTATGGCAATGCTCATTATTACATACTGACAATTAGAAAAAAAACATCTTTGCAGGTTGGATTTCCTCTTAGCGTCACACACATTATGTTGGTATATTATTATCCTCCTGATATGTTGTAACTTCTGAGCGTGTTTCCGTAAAAAAAAAAAATTATGTAAATCTCATGATCAGTACTTTTGCGTGTAACTTTCTGATGAGAAACATGCCTCGCCATGTTTTCACACAATTACCGTGCCGGTGCGTCTAGTTGTCTGCACACATTTGTCAGGGATTCTCCTGTTTAATTTCTCACTCCGCGCCAAGACACGTCCATGCAATTATGTGTCAACGAGCAATTAAAGCATCAATTAAGGTTTGTTAAGCAGAGAGCGTATCATGGAGAAGAGTGATTAGACGCAACAGTCACACAAATGTTTGTGCGGCTCGGCAAGGTTGTCTAAATCTATCTATCTATCTATCTGTCTATCTGTCTGTCTGTCTGTCTGTCTGTCTGTCTGTCTGTCTGTCTAATCTAAAAGGCTACCTATAATCATCACCTCCACTGATTGTCACTCCGTCTTCGCTCTGTCTTCAGTCCACCGTCTCCTCTCCCTCTCTGATCCCCCTTTTTTTTCATGCTCTTACTGTCTCTGTCTTTTCTAATCATCCTTCTAAGTGCTTCTGTGAATCCTTCCAAACTCCAGTTTCAATCAATCTGTTTTCTACCGTTCCTCAATCCACCTCCATATGCTTCCTTCATCCCAGCAGCCTCCCCTCCTCTCCCCTCCCCTCCCCTCCCTGCGCTCCTCTTCCTTTGTGTGCTCTTTGGAGTGCTGGTGGATGACAACTTCATCTCCATTATTCAGTTTCTCCATCCTCCCCTTCATCCCCTTCTTCTTCCGCTGGAGTGGTGCTACATGACAATCCAATATCCACCTGCCTCAACCTCTAATACTCACCCTCTTCTTCCCTGTTTTTTTTTTTTTTTCCCCTTCTTTCCTATCTTGCCTATATGACTCTGTGATTTTTACTTGCACTCCATCTGTCCACTTTTGTCTTTCTATTCATCCTTGAGTCTTCCTCTGTGCTGCTGATCACATACACAACATTCTTCTTCTTCTTAGTTTATGCAGGTTATATTAGGGTTTTAACTGAAACCTTAGTAAAACTTCTTTTTCAGTTTTGCCAAGCGCAATCGTTCATGTACAGATCCTCCACGGCTCATTCAGGTAAGACCCTCATTTATTTTGTACATTTATTTCAAGACTGAAATAGTGTGAACATTCGTGGTCCTTTTCTTAAAAAATTTCATTTATTTATTTGTTAACGCGAGTCTTTCAGATATTTGTTAGTGTTCCCCTCTGCCTAGAACAGGAAGGCCACATTCAGCTCAACCAATCTGACCTGATGCCATTTTCTACATACATTGTTTTTTGGGTTGTTTTCCTGTGTTTGTTTGTTTTTTTTTAAAGTACACTTATTTACATCTGTCATCTGAATACAAATAAGATTTTCTACGTGCATCTCTTTGCAGTGAACATAGTCCAGCTTCATTGGGCATTATTTAGTTATCCCATCACATGCTGTTCTAATATTGTCCCTCATTTGTCCAATAGCAAATTAGAATAAAACAGTCTTTCGTAAATCCGTTGAAAGATACAGATTGGGAAACATTTGAGATCATGTGGCACAAAAAGGACAAAGAAATCACATCCTGCTTCAGCATCCTAAAGTTTTTATTTCTTCGCCCTCAACAAAATAACCAGACCTCAGGTTTGTTTCTCTCCTTCTAATCTAACAGCTCCATGTCATAAGGACGCTGTTTATTCTTGACCGTGCTGACAAACATGAACATGGAAATGAGCCTGCTTAGTTTTTTTTCTTTTTTCCTTTACATAGGGGACACATGGTAACATGGAGCCTAAAGATGCCCTATGTGTCAGTGTCTGATGGCTGAGTTTAATGTGTTCCCTCTCTGTGGGTGTGTGAAATTCACACATGTGAACACACCTCCTGCCCACCGAGAAGGGAGCCATCTGACCTTTTGCTTGTGCTGGATTTAATGAAGAGACTGTCATTTGCTGTCTCTGTGACTGCACGCTCATCTCACACATGCAGATGTTGAAAGTGCCCGGGTCCCGATACCCTCCGCTTTGTTCGGTGGGCAGTCCGTCACTTCGGGCATGCATTAATGAACCAATTCTCTGAAAATCGCTCTGCCAGTCAGACCAGTGTGGCCGACTGGTCCGAGGGGCCTGATGAATCCAACGTTTCTGTCGGCGGATGGGAAGCAAAAGACGTCAGTGACACCTGGTGGTCAAGCAGCGTACTATAATGCTTTGTCCATCGATGTAGGCAAGGCAGGAAAAACAACAGGTATGCTGTGGGAGTGGGAGTTGTCCTGTCTATAAAGTATGTAGTGCAGGCTTTCATTTATGTAGTTATTTTTAATTATTCTAACACAGCTTTTATGCCATGTGATGTTTGTCTTTGACCCCCTTTTGACAGCGACGGCCAGATAGGAAACAAACACACACACCTACACAACATAGTATACATTTCAAAGAAATTATATATGTTACCTTTCAGGAAATCCTACTGGTAAATAACGCCCTATATTTTCAAGAAGCAACGATTAAAGCAGTAAAAGTAGCTACGCCGCAATGTACAATTACACGGACGCAAAGGCCACACATGATAAATGTGACCGTTCAAGGAAAGATCAAGATAAACATACAGTACCAAAGTTTAAAGTACTCGCTCTGTATTACGGACATTTGTTCAGAAGAATGTATTTTATATTATTACAGCTCCTAAAGGTAGAGTTAATTATCATTACTTTATCTACTGCTTTAAATGTTCATGTTCATGTGCAGCACAATGACAGATTTGTTTTGTACAAAACCAATGAAGGACAAGTTTATTTAAGAAGCATTTAAAAATGCACAGTAGTAGTCATACAAAAGCAGCACATGTTTGTGGCACTGAAGTGTTTTTTTTTTTTTTTGTTCCCTGTGATTCACGGCACCAAGCTGCAGTTGAAATGTTTAGGCGGTGTGAGTGTGCAGCAGCCTTGCAGACCGCTCTGACTGAATCCTTCCCCGGCCGTCACGTTCCATGGCTCATACACCGTCACACTGCGAATAAGAATACACACACACACACACACACACAGGCTGAATCACAGAGTCACTCCTCTACATCAGCTGCATTCATTCTAAAATAAAATGTTATGACTGTGGTCAGATGTCAGAAAATATCTGGGATGTAAACAGTAAATACGTGGGAACTGGGAAACCAAAAGCTATAAACACAAGAAGGTGACAAGCAGGGTTCAGGCGTGACGCAGACACTCACACACCTGTCATAGAGCCGTGTGCAGCAGGTGAGCAGCCGTGGGCTGACGGTCACATTGGTGTTATTGAACTCTGCCATCAGGAAGTGTTGGCACTGAGGATCAGGGATGTACAACATACCTAGAAACACACAGAGCGGTAAACACACTTGACTGACAGGTTATCTAATGTGTATATATTATATATTTATATCGCCTTCATTATCATTTCAGCCTGTAGTAAGATATAAAATACACTTAACGGGCAGAAATAGTAAAGATTCAAACTAAAAATGCTAATGTAATAATTTAAGCATTACTCTAACAATTGATGTTATTTCCATTATATTGCTATTACTTCCCCTTAGAATATAAAAACGTGTATTATGAATATAGCATCTAACTCTAAAAGTATGAAAGTACATTTTATAAATAGTGAACAAAAAGATGTACCATTGATCAAAAAGCACTTAAAATCTGTCTTTATGTTGTGTTTGTATTATTGTACAAGGCTTTTAAAAAATATATATTACAGTACAGTTTGTAATTTTATTGATGAAAACTAAAATAACAATTTATAATGTTTTTGAATTCATATAAATGGAAATGTTTAACAATTAAGTCACAAACTCCTTATGCAATATGAGTGAATGAACAAATCAGAACCTAATTAATAAGAAGCAGACACGTCGTTATTGAATTAGTCCTAATTAAAAAAAGTGTGTATAATCAAAAAAGAAAAGCTGTTTGAGAGGAGACAGTCAGCGGCTGTGTTCCTGAACCAGTGTGTCTAATTATTTTTGAAACACCAATTTATTATTATTGTTCAAAACTTTTAGTTTTGTTGTTTCACAATGGTTCAACTTTAAAATGTGGGATTTTATTAACAGCAACAAAACGAACCAATTTCTGGCCTAATTGTGAGCAACATCCTCCAGTGTTGAAAGCTGAAATATATTTTACTCTCACCTAAAAACAATTTCAAAACCAAATACGGGCTCAGTCAGTAATTTATGCTTAATAATGTGCTTTTGGTTGAAAGGGAAATATTTTGAATATAATAAATGTTTTATGACTGAGTGGACCTCCCGGGCACAAACTCAACCTTTCTTGATGGAAAAGTTAGACCAAGGTATGACTGCTGCTCTTAATCAGTTTTCTCATAGTGAGCATTTCCATCCATCCATCCATTATCTATACACCGCTTAATCCTCACTAGGGTCACGGGGGGCTGGAGTCTATTCCAGATGACTCAGGGTGAAGGCAGGGGACATCCTGGACAGGTCACCAGTCTATCACAGGGCTACACTTAGAGACAGACAACCAAGCACACTCACATTCACACCTACGGACAATTTAGAATCACCAATTAACCTCAACATGTTTTTGGACTGTGTGGGAGGAAGCCGGAGAACCTGGAGAGAACCCACGCTGCACGGGCAGAACATAGAGACTCCACGCGAACCGGCGACCTTCTAGCTGTGAGGCAACGATGCTAACCACTCTACCACCTTGCAGCCCATGGTGAGCATTTGCCAGACAAATTAATTTCACACATATTTTTCTTTCATAATGCAGCTGCAGAGCATATTGAGGCTTCATTAACATTTGTATTCAAATACAGTGAAATTAGGAAAAAACTGTAAATCAGTTTTACTGCAGAATCGTCTGTTTGAGAAAATGCGTCACTTTGGTGGCTCCCTATAACGTTTTGTATAGTGTACTGTCGTGTGTGTAGGAGGAGTATGATCGGTGTGAATCTGCTGTGGTAGGAAGCTTTGGACAGAAGTCACATAGACTCTCTCCTTTTTCAGTGAATGAACACTGAATCGAGTTTTAGTAAACCTGTAGCGTGTCACTGAAACGGACACAACACGACTACTGAGGGACCTCAAATGACTGATGGGAAACCCAGTTGGAATGAGGTCTGGAAGTATAAATACATTGTGTGGACAAAAAGGGAGAAATAGACGCCAAGAAGAGCAAACTGTCACCTGCAATACAAGCTGTCATGAAACAGGAGATGCTGCCTGCAATCAGAGCTCTCAGGCCACAACTGGAGATGTCAGATCGTCTGTCTGGAGCCATGGCGGCTGGAATAAAAGAAAAAAGATATGCAAAAAAACAAGAGAAATGCAACAAACCTGTAACAGCGCCAAGTACATAGCAATGAAACCACCATAACTGGTCATATATCAGTAGAAAGAAGAAAAAAGCAGCTGGGAGTCATCATTCAATTCTTTCTGTTGCTCAGAGAAATGGTGGAATTTTGTCAGAATGTTAAACATCTCCCTGCTATTTTCTTATTAGTTATGATCAGGACATTCCACCGATTCTCAGTCCTTTTGATACTTGGGAGATTTTGTTTGCACTATGTCTTGTCGTCTGGGGTGATTCAATTTCAAAGGCGACCTCGTCTTTTAGACACGTCAGGGGCATTAAAATATCTAAATGTTCGACTTCTAACGTCTGAAGAATCGTCTCGTCTCCTTGCTTCCTTCTCTTTTCAATTATATCATTCTTTTGCAGTTATTATGGAATTGTTGCAAATCGTGTTTTGCATTTCTCACTTTTACATCTTTAATGATCCGGTGGAGGCTTTTGTTGAAGCTTCCAAGGTCTTTTTCAGTTCCATCCTTCCACCGACGTTCGTAAAAGCACACACACACGCTCACACTTGTCGTCTGTTGCTTTATACGCTAACGGTTGTTAAGAGTGCATTCATTAAGTTTTGGAAACCTGCAGATGTTCTCTGTGTGTGAGAATTAGAAGGGAATATCTGGGCTTCCATTTGTTTGAAAGGTTTTTAAGGCAGCCACAAGCTAATCAAAACCGACATAACTTCTCATTCAGCCCACACGCTGTAAGTCGCTTAAATGTAACAGATGGATTCCTCACCACTTACTTCCACTTGCGGCAGCCAAAAAAAAGCAAAAAAAATCAAGGACACGTTGATTTTTTTTCAACCTGTACATTTCTATGTGTGGTGTAGACACTCTCTGGTACATTTTCTTTTGTTTTTTGCATTTTAGACAATGGAATTCTGAATTTAAATGAGAGCATATTTATGCAATATTGTAATGTGGCCAAAGCCAGCGTGTTATGAGTTCATAAGGAACCACTCACACAGTCCTCCAACTGACATCCCCAAAGCAGCAAAGTTGGAAAATCCACACAAAGCGTAGGTTGCGATGGTTTCAGAGTGGACCTAGATGAAGAAACAGAATTCATCTAAATTGTTAAGTGATAAAAATACCCACTTGTCTTTCACTGTACCATGTGAAAAGCGTTGAAGCCAAAAAACAGCAGTAGAGGACATTTAGACAGTTCCTCGTTACACAATATGCAGCTTTTCTATGACAGTTGCACATTGTTGGGATGATATGTCACCGCCAACCTGCGTCACGTTAGGAGATAAAGAACTTGGTTTGTTAAGAACCATCTTAAGTCTTTTCGAAGACAATATCCACACTCAGTTTTACAGATAAAAGATGGCGTACACTAGATTTCTGGTCAACTCACAATAGGATAAATAATTGACCTCAAATGAATTTCAATTTCCAGACAATTTTTTTTTTCTTACTATCTTATACACCACTAATCCCTGATGGTATTTACCTATAGGGCTAGTTTTAGTTCATCTGCCCAGGATTTTAGACATTTCCTGAATGAGTCTCTAAATGTTAACACTTAATATGTTCTATGGTGTGAAAACCACAGATAAAATTCAATGTGCCCTAATTTGGTGTCTCAGTAAAACTTGAATAACTGCATAGTCATATACTGCTGGGGATGAAAATGTTCGTGATCTGGCTATTTATAAGTTTTGTATATAGTATATTCAAGTGTAATTGAAAATCTAATTAACATTAATCAGGATTCTACATAGCAATAGGCTGCAAAATGCACTGAAAAAAATTATTGTATCTTTAAGGTAATGTTCAGCATAAATACATTTAAGAAAAACTTCTAAAATGTGGTCATGTGTTCTATTACTTGCACAAAAATCCAAATCATGACAGAAGGGGTGGAGCCTTGCTGAAGCCCAGAAGAAACAAGCAAACAGCAACCACCCAGGCTGGCTGTGACAGACCCAGCATATGTCAGCTGAGCAAACAGGCTTTACAACTGCACTAGAACTCTCTTAGCTTTCTTATATCTTTTAATTAAACAAGAATTATATACAACATCCACTGAGGCAATCAATTAAAAAGTATCCATTGAGGCCATGACATTGTAGAAAATACTTTTGTCTAGACTTTTGTCGGTGCTCAAACACTTGATTGGCTTTTTGATTAATATGCATCTCATGATATCAAACATATTCATCCTGGTAGTTGCAGAGAAAACCAGGCAGGTGGTAAAGATTTACAAAGTGAACAGTGAGAATGTAAATGAGACTTACAGAAATGTACTGCTTTACATCGTTGATATATTCCGGCCCTCCCGCCTTCCTCCTCTTTATTAACTCTGACAACTTCTGATAGGCCACAAACTCATTGAGGAAGGTCTTTATGCCAATCAGCTCAGCAACAATGAAACTGTCCTCCCAGGAGACTCCCATCATGAAGGAGAGTGGCATGAACACATAGGAGCAGATGAACTGAAGAAGGGACGGAACGAAGCAGAGACAAAGTCAGAGTAAACATGGTAATCAATGTTTAAATATATTTATAGCAGGTATATGTTGGAAAGGCGGTCTATGTGTTTTTGTGTCTGGTCAGGGCCTTCACCGAGAAGCTGAGATGCGGACAGTCAAACATCCCACCCAGCCAGGAGAGGACGGCGTCGAAAAAGGCCAACAGTGCAAGAAAGGCAATGAGGTTGACAATGATGTTGGCCACCATACCTACAGCACGAGATGCACCTTGGGACGCTGCTTCCAACACATTCTGACTGTCTCTGAGGAGAAAGGTAACACTTTATTGGCTGTATGTTGCTCTGTCTATGAACACCGTTATAGTGAAATAGCACAGTGTCATCAGCATATTGGTGTTCATGACATTTGAAATGCTAGACTGCTTTACTTCTGTAGATCATCATATGCTTAACATAGTGCAATGTAAATAAAACAAACAAACAAAAAGCTTTGGTTTAAATAAAATTTCTTCATTTCCTTATGTCTTTTTTACAAAAGCTGCAAAGTCCATTACATTTATGATGTAAAACTAGTAAGAAAAAATGTAATGTTTGGTTGTTATTTGCGATGTGATACCACCGAGTTTAACGGAAACAATTCTTGGAAAGTTTTTAATCATGTCAACCTACAGTCGTGATTATCACCACCAAATCATAGATTTATCTGGAACCAATACGGAACCAAAGGCGGATACAGGACAGGAGTGGCAGGATGAAGTGAAAAAGTGATGGAAGGTGGGGTGAAATTTAATGGTCGTTGGAGATCCTTGAACATCTCTTAGTTTTCGCAACTCAACCTTGTGGACCAACATTTTTTGAATTATGCAGACAATAGAGTTTGTATTGTGTGTGTGTGTGTTTACATATATGTACTCATTGTAAACTCTCCTACCCTTTGTCTATTTTGAGGTCATGAGGGGACGTTTTGATGGATGCCTCCTTTTCAGGCCAGAATATCTTGGCGATGGCCAGAGAGGCTGGAGCGGACATTAATGATGCTGTCAACAAGTGTGTTGCCTCAACCTCAGAAGAGAGGCACACAGAAAATGAGATTAATTCAGTGGTCAGTCATTTATTTCCTTACGTAGTTGTCAAAATCCTTTGTAAACACTCATGCAAGTATCAAACTCAGTCGAGAGTCTTTGAAGTTTTGGAGTTTTTAATAATTTGCCAAAATCCGATGTTTGTTTGTTTTGTTTTGTTTTTTCCTTCGTCACCTGTTTTCTTATGCTTATGACTTTTTTTGTTCTTAATGAATTTTCAAATGTCCTTCCTCCTTGAATTTGGATGTTAACCAAAACTGTCAAATCATCAATATAATTATGTCACAAATACACAAATGAATTGTGGGTTGGTAGAACTCACACTCTCAGGTCAGTCACTAGCATTCCTAATCAAACATGGCTAATAAAACAAGGAATTTTGATTCTCCTTCAGAGAAATGTAGATATATATGTTATATTGTGCTTGTTGACAAGTATTAACTCTAAGTAAATGCCACCACTGGACATCCATTTTTGATATTATGCAGTTTCTTTCTATGTATATAGACTTAACTCCCACCATCTCAGTGCATGTTCCCATTTCCATCCCCTCCTTTCTACCTGTCTTCTTCCTCACCCCAAAGGAGATAAAGGCTCCTAAAATGGAACCAGAGATGCTGGCGAACCCCCCTGTCATCACAGCATGGATCTCAGAGACCGTTAGCTCACTGATGTACGGACGAATCAGTAGAGGTGAGTCTGTCTAAACGACAGGTAAGGACAGGACTTAGGTTGATGGACATTAGCGGATTCATTTATCGTGATGTTAATGACTGTTTATGGTTACAGTTGCTTACATTTCCAAGGAATATATTTCCAGCTGCAGCCATTGACTCTGTCGCAGATGTTCCCATGGTAACCTGCATTATGAATCCAATCTGGGGGAAAAAATCAGTATGGCTCAGAAAGTCAAAGGGAAATAACCAAACTGTAGAAAATGATATGATAATGTGCTAATTTCTAAATACTCTGAACAGGAAGTAGCCTTTTATTTCTTAATTTGTATTCCTTATCTTGAAATAAATGATGTGAAATAATTAATTTGACACCAGAAATTCCTTGCGGTCCATTCATTTTACTCTCCTTCTTGCTCACCTTGCAAATGAGCCACGGCATGAAGCCAACGTAGTACAGAATGGAGATGACCGAGCTTAAAAACACCAATATAGGCATCACCTGCAGAGAATCCACAATTAGTACTATAAACATCTTAGTGTTACTGATTGCGTTTGCATGCACGTTAGCATTCTGATTTATCTTTCTTGCTTTTGATTCTTGCATAGAGCGTGAGAAACTTTGTTGTTCATGGCTGTGAGTAACATATGCTGGTGTGTTTCTATAGTTTTTCAGACTTTTACCTTAATTTCTGCAGGAAAAGTCACTTATTTTCATGATCATATGTTTGTTGTACTGCATGAGAAACTATCGTAGGCTGATCTAATGAAGCACCTTGACCAGTAACCAGATTTCTGAAGCAATGTTGATGTTTCCACATTTAATCGTACAACTTGGATGCTTCAAAAACCCAAACATAGCTGATTACTAATATCAATGGTAATGCATTCACTCATCCGTGTGTGTGTATGTGTAGCTGTTTTGCATAATACTGGTGTGTCATACCCTAAAGACGAACAGGTGGTCTGTATAACTGTCACCGAACACAAATTTAGATCCAACATCTGTGAACGACATAAACATCTGCACGGAGGAGATTTTAAATAGTTACTAACTGAACCAAAACACATGAAACAGACATGTAAAATATACAAGCAACAGGAAGGTTTAAATCCCAGAATTTATCAAAGGCAACAATACAATTTTGTGCTGCATAAGTAGAGAAAATCTTTGTGTGTCGACATGTACCTCTGCTTGCTTTCCAAGCCATTTCAGTGCTCTAAAGCCAGATGTGGTTCTGAGGATCAGCAGACCAAAGATAAACTGCAGCCCGGTTCCACAAAGCAAAGTTCGCCAAGACCACTGCCACAACACGTGTGTTAAAAAAAAGTCTTTGTTGGAGTCTACGTGCATGCGCGTACGCCGGAGAATGCACGTGCATCTCTTACCCTGAATGGGTGTTTGGAGAACAGCAGCATTAGGAAGATGAACAGCAGCAAACCAAAGAAAGACACGAGCTGTCTGGTCCCCCGCTGGGCTGTGTCCAGTGCAAGCCAGCACACCACGGCCACCAGTAGCAGCGCATATATTATCCTGAGAAAGATGTCAGGGAGAGAAAGGGAGGGAAGTACAGAAAAGCTCATAGATGACCAGAGACACTTTGCACTGTGGAACATATTAGCAAAAGGAAAGAAGGAATGTTGTATAGACGCTACAGACTGACAAGAAATGTGTCCAGTTGGCCTTACATAAGAAAACTCAACTTCCTGCGTTGTTAGGAGAGGATTAGATTGTGTAGTTAGTTAGTACATGACAAACACTCTTAACTTCTTTAGTCATAACTTCTTTGGTCTTACATGCATGAACACTGAAGACTTGACCTTTTCCATTAACCAGTGTCTGTACAGTTGTGCTTAGTGGTAAAGGATTTAAGGTCAATCGAACGGATTCATAAACAGAAGAATCAGAATGTCTAACAGGCTACGGACATCTAATTTCACACTTAATTTTCACTTTCATCTTTTTAACTCTTATTTTGGCCACTTTGAGAAAGCAGATATAAGCTAACCATCCATCCATCCATCCATCATCTATACACCACTTAATCCTCACTAGGGTCATGGGGGGCTGGAGTCTATCCCAGCTGACTCAGGGTGAAGGCAGGGGACACCCTGGACAGGTCACCAGTCTATCACAGGGCTACACTTAGAGACAGACAACCAAGCACACTCACATTCACACCTTCGGACAATTTAGAATCACCAATTAACCTCAACATGTTTTTGGACCGTGAACTCTGGAGAACCCAGAGAGAACCCACGCTGCACGGGGAGAACATACAAATTCCACGCAGAAAAATCCCGTCTGTCCTCACCGGCGACCTTCTTGCTGCAAGGCAACAGTGCTACCAACTGCGCCACCTTGCAGCCGATATAAGCTAACCCCAAGATATAATCAAAAAATTGTAGAACACAGACGACTATCTACACATCCATCAGATACAAACCACATTAGCAGCAGTTTGGATTTGTGTTTCTGACAACCTGTTGAATGTAAGCTCACTCCTCCGCTGTTTTTTTGTTTGTTTGTTTTTTTTATATATATATATTTTTTTATCTCCATTAAATATCTGACTCTTTACCTGTGTAGTGGGTTACCTTGTCTGCAACCTGGTGCTGACGAGGTAATACGGATTGGATTTTTAAATGCTGTGGCTTAAAAAAAATGCTGTAATGGCCGTGAGACTTAAGTTTACCTGCTAAAAAATGAAGACTGTGAGTTATAAATCTATCATATAAACCTTTACTGAGCTGAAACTGCAAAACCAAGAAAGAATTCATGTTGCATTCATCTCAAGTCCTGGCCAAGTCCTTTCACATGGAGGTAGTCATGTAATCCTCTGTTTGAAAGAGCTTTTCTTGCTTTTGCAATTTCAGCTACAACCTTTTGATTATCCTGAAGGTAATTTGACTTGTAAGCAGACATCAGCTATGTAGGTCAGAGCTGCAATCAAAGGCATCAGCGCAGCATAAAACTGATTTGTAGAATAAAAAGTGTAACACAAACGAAAAATAAAAAGCAGCAGCAGATCAAACCAAAGAAGAAATACATCTACCATCCTTTACAACTTAAAGATAAAGTTCAGTCTTTTGATGGCAACAGGAATAAATGAGAGTCTTTGCTGCCATAGTGGCGGCATAATAGGAGATCAAACTTCTTTATGTGGCTGATCAGGGAAGCTGAGACTCTTTAATCCCGTTCGTTAAATGTTTATTTGACGTACTTTTGTTGTGTTCTGTTACATTATTGTGGACTATATTGTGTCTCTGCTTCTGCTGAGGTAACTGCCAATGAGGTGCTCTTGAGCTTGTGCAATTATGTGCCCTGCAGCAGTTCTTCTCACATTTTGCCATCACCTGCTCTTGTTTCCTTTATTCTGCCCTGTTTGAATTGAGTGCTCATGCCAATTTCACTAACAATGAATTTCCTCAGTCTACCTTGTTGTTGCCAGGAGACCGAGAAACCCTCAACTTGTCTGAACCGTCTTGAGCATTATTTACATTACATCGACTAAGAGCGATTTTTAGTGCGCTGATTCGGCGGTGGCTTGGGTTAGTGTTTTCTAGTATCATCATGGGGAACACACCAGTAGGCCCGACCCCCCACCACCACTACCTTTGATAAGGAGGGTGCACACCGGGGTAGAAAAATCTGAAACCAGATTTCTCACCATCTGATCCAAAACCAGTTTCTTCTGAGGGCAACTCTGATAGGAGAGAGAGCCTCCCACACCCGGTCGCTATAGCGCTCCATCATCCAATCCCAGACCAGGAAGAACATGGTTACCAAGGAGATGACCAGCAGCCCCACAGCCCGGTGGAAGTTCAGAACACACGCCGCTATCACCATGGCAACGAAGCCTGAAACAAATTTAGAATTAATATGAATGATATCCCACAGTGCTCAGAATACCGACAACATTTCACTTACAGCTTTTTTTTCCCCATTAAAGTTAATCTAACCTTTAGCATTTATTTGCTGCTTTACATCCTCCAGTTAAACAGGAGGAGGTGCAGTTAATGTTAAAACGACCGGAGTCGTTTCCACCAGAGACAGAGATCCACCGCACACATCCTCAAAAGACAAATCTGACTTATTCATAACTGCATGTAGAACATATTCATGAAGTCTCAAATCCTGTGAACAGTGGAAGGAGCGTTTCACATTTCAAACATCTTGTTCTCAGCTCTTTTTTTTGTTTCATTTACTTTTTGTTTTCTTGGCTTCAACTTATAAAACGTGTTTTGAGCTGCAAACTTGCATGCCCTCTGACTTTTAAATATCCAACTAAAGTGAACTAAATCGAAAAGGATTTAGAAAAAAAAGAAAAAGAAACTACTTTGCTCTTGTAGCTTCTATTACTTTTATGTACAGCAGATTCTCTTATAGCCTGACAAGAATCAATGATATTTAATATTTAAAAGTTCGAAACTAAGCCCAGGGTTAGTGGTAGTGAACCAATGCATTTCAAATTTTCAACTTGGTGGTTTAATTCATTCAGTGCCATCGGCTTGTAAAAAATAAACCCCGGGTCATACATGCTAAATCATTCATTAACTTCTCCAGAAAATGCAGGTTAAAGGGAAAATGTTGGAGCTCTGATGCATTTTGACTACTTGCCAGTGAAATCCCACAGGGAGGTTGTTCAGGTTTCACATCCCCAAATGATTTAACTCTCAGAAGAAATGTAGTTCTTTAACAATGTACCACCAAACTGAATTTTTTGAAAGTCAGAAACATATCGGAAATGTTTATAAAGAGGACAAACTTAGCCAGACACGAGAGCTTCGGATTCTGTAAATCATAGCGCGCCACAGTGATTTGTTTTATATTTAGATCAATAAAGTATCACTATACCGTTAATGGCTCTCTTAACAATCCTATAGGAGCTCGCAGATGCGCTGAGAGCACTTCGACTCACATCCACGTATTACATATGTTCTCCAATAAACCCTGTCTTGATTTTTCCATTAGCAATCATAGCGATTGTGTTGTAAGGACACACACTCATGTCAATGTGTTCTAAGGCGCAGAGCATGTAGGTCAACTCAGCAGTGCCGATTGCCTGTAAATTAAACAGCAAAGAAAGTCCTTAAACAAGACCACAAATCGATTTTTCAGCATACTTAGATTTGGCAATTTAATAGTATGTCGCTGTAAAATCAAAAGTATCAATTGTACCGGGGATGCACTTTGTGTCCAATACAATCTTGACACTAATGAAATGCTGTGCACGTTTTTGTGTGAAAAATATAAGGAATGGGTTTCACTGTGGTAGTGGCTGCATGTGGACGACCCCCAAACAGAGACCTATTTAAGGTCCTGAGTTACACTTTAACAGAACAAAGATAGTTTACCTGCTGCTAAAACGAGGTGTATAATCAGGCCAATCTGATCTTTGTGCTCAGCCAAACAGACCTGGAGTGCCTCTGTTTTCTTCTCCAGCAAGCTAGACACACACAAAAAAAGAAAGATAAGGGGAGTAGATAAGGAGAGAGGACATAAATGTTACATCAAAGGAGCAAGACAAAGGCTGATGATTTAGAAGACACTGGAAAAAGAGACAGACACGGGGAGATATTGTGCGTTTGACGAAAAGAACAATATAAGATAAACTCAAAAACCTTTTGTTGTGTCGGCCTGTCTCGTCGTGCGCATCGTCTGTAGCTCCGGAAGCTCTGTCCACATCAGTGCATATCTGATCCTGCTCCTGTCACACCCACAGACACACATATTGAGAATAATTCATGTTAGGAATAATGTGCGGACACATATTGATTCATAGTCTGAATTAAAGCTTGTTTTCTGTTGCACACTGAGCACGTGTGTCTCTGCATGTACAGGTTGGACTGAGGGTCCAAAACAACTTCAAGTCCCTGCAAAGCTGACAAAAAAGCCTCATTATATATTTACTTCATGAACTTTTTTGTTGTAACTCAGTGCATGAAACTATTTCAGTTGTTTGTTTCTATTAGTAGCCTTTAAAAAATGTCTTTTTCCAAATGCTTCCAATTAAAGCAATGTTTTTCAAGAATAATTTAAGAAACAACTTTACATACCTGTGATTCAAAGGCCTTGTTGTCTTTCCACTGTTTTTGATTCTTCGTTTCTATTACATGCAGCTCCATTGTCTTGCTGTTCAGGCACTGGCCAGACACCTTTTGGGAGACTTTTTCTGAAACACACCTGTCCTGTCCTTGTCCCCTCCCCTCAATTCTACCTCTGTGACTCCCCGTATCTTTTTTTTTTACAATCTTCTTTCTTTCTTGAAAGCGTAGTATTAGTCAACCTTCTCACTTTCTCACTTTCCTGGATGAAATTAATTTCATACAATCACCTCCTGTTCCCTGGAGACATTGCATTGTTTCTCTATGAATGTAGTTGATGCTAAAGATGACGCTGCAGTCTCGTGTTTCTTATGTATCAGAGCTGCCACTAGAGAGCACTACTGTATAAGTTTTCAGGACCGTGATACAACTGGCCGGCATGTGGAAGTTAGAGTAGGTTCAACTGAGTCCACATGGGTAACACACCGGGAGTTCTCCTTCACGGCTATTCTGTGGTTAGTGCAAACATACATTTAAATACAGTCATATTATCAAAACGACATAAACGGCTGATTAGACAACATGTCGCCTCCAATCAGAGTAGACCATACCTGGCGTAAGGAGGATTTTCCCCACAAAAAATATAGTATTTTGCTTTCTATTTGTATAAAAGTGTGAAATTCAAGGGAATGATGAATCATTTTGAATGTTTCTCCCTTACAACAGAAAAGGATTCATCATCTCATCTGTCTCGCATTTGTTTCATAGAATTTCGAAACCTCCAAACGTCACAGGAGTGGGGCAACAGTTCAGTGTCATTCTGTCATCTTTAAATGGAAAATACAAAGATTCTTCCTTTTTTTTGTTGTTGCTGTTTTTCTACCAGGGACTCATGGGCCCCGCTGAAGGCTACTGTCTTCTAACGCTTTGATGTATCCAATCCACATGTTCAAACCATTAATCACGTCGAGGCCAAGAAGTTCAATACTGCAAGGACAAAGTGGAGGAATAGTTCCGGCAGACTGAGGTTTGTTAATCCATAGATCGGATGCCAAAACCCCTGACAGTTAGGAAAGGAAGAAAAACACCCAGTGCACTGGATGAGCCAGTGTGATGTTTTTCTGCGTATCCGTTCACTGCGTCTGCTGTCCCAGTCCTGACCCTGTCTCTCGATTACTCATAGCTTTGGGGTAAAGTAGCATACAAACCCTTTTGTGGGCCCGCATGAATAAATCATCAAAAGTTCTGGTAAATGTTTGGGCTCGAAAATGACTTGAACTCCTTCTTTACCTTGTGTGAACCAAAAGCGATTTCCATCAATAAGCTCATGATATGTTTATTCAAAAGAGAGCAAATCACAGCACAGCCTCTTTTGGAAAAGCTGTGAGGCAGCAGCAGGTGATTGTGGGTCTAACTGTGATGCCACAACGGGTGACTGCGTTGTAATAAGAGCTGATTGTGATGCAGCAACAGGTGATTTTGATGTAACGGCTGGTAAATGTGACAGTGGTCAGTGTGAAGAAACTGTGATGTGACAGCAGGTGATTGCAACCTACTAATAGGTGATAATGAATCAGTACGACTGGGACGCAACAATAGCTGATTGTGATGCAAAGGGAAGGGGATTGTGAGGTGAACGCAGGTAACTGTGGTGAAACAACAGGTGATTGTGGTACAGCAGGAGACTTTGATGCAACAGCATGTGACTGTGATGTAAGAACTGGTGAATGTGATGTGACACATGATGAATGCGAGGCAACAGCAGGTGACGGTGATGGAACGAAAGGTGATTTTTTTAGGCAACAGCAGGTAACTGTGATGCAGAAAGAGGTGACTGTGATGCAACAGGTAGCGATAGTGAGGCAACAGCAGGTGACTATGATGCAACAACAGGTGATTTTAAGGGAATAGCAGGTGATTGTGATGCAAAAACAGGTGATTTGGAGGCAGAACCAGGTATGTGTTATGTCATAACTGGGGATTGTAAGGCAACAACAGGTAACTGTGATGCAATAAATAGTGACTGCAGTGGTGATTGTGAGGCAACAACTCAGGATTGTGAAGCAAAGCACGTGAGTGTAGTGTAACAACTGGTGATTATGAGGCAACAGTTGACAGCTGTGCTGCAACAACTGGTGATTTTGATGCAATGGCAGGTAATTGTGAGGCAACAACAGGTGATTGTGATGCAGCAACACAGGTGATTGATACAAAATAGGTAAATGTGCTGGTATTATAGGTGATTGCTGGGATGCAACAGCATTAAAACAACAGGCTGCTTTTTTGCAACAAGAGATGATGTGATGTCTTTTATATTTGATTATACATGGGTATGTTAATCATTTAAATTATTCTTTTTTTCCCTTTTTTTTTGCCATGAATGTAGTTTTAAAATGATTGTGTTTTAGACGAATCAGTCATGACCTCAGGCACTTCCTACGACAATCTAACACAAATTCAACCAACAAGAGATTGATCAAATGCATGCAACTATAGCTACAATTTTGGTTTGATGACAAGACAAATGACTGTGAAGATCCACAAGGTTATCATGAGCATAAAAATACAGGACTGTGATCATCCTTTGCACAGCCAGAGATAAAGATCTTTAGAGAAAGATGCTGCTCAGTGACGTCATGAGAAAAAAATACACTCCAGCCACTCCAGTGGAATCAATATAGTTTTCAATATCAAAGGGGAAACCCACTTTTGATTAAATTGAGTAATTTATAGTTACTAAACATCTCATCTCTGTTCTTCTTCTGCATCATATTGCACAGAAACACATGCTGCAGTTTGTAAATACTGTCTGTGCTGTTCAAAGTTTCAAGATATGACTCTCACTAAAACCTTGTCCAACTCCAGATACACATGGATGTTAACGGGGGAATTCCAATTCGTGTTTTGTAATTAACACATCAAACTTGCTGCATAAATTTCCCAAGAAGCTAAATATGTGTGGCGTACTATGATGGGCTCACAGTGCTGGACAAAACACGTTCTGAGTGATGCTTTGTCTGGAGATGACAGACGGTTCAAGAGGGTGATTACATGTTTAAAATGTCACAGGCCTTTAACAGAGGTTACGACCGCTGTCAAATCTCAAAAGGAGCGACGAGTACTAGCAATATTCTCTTTGTCAGACGGTGTTTTAATTGGTACACCCGCATTGTTCTGTACAGAACGCGTACACCGCCGCTTCTAAAGCAAGCATCCACCAGATTGGTTCACACACACAGACAGAGCTCCATAATTACGCTCCTCTATTCAGCAGCACTGCCTGTGCGTCAGCACAAACGTCATATTAGAGCTGCACATGGGGACAGGACATTGGAGGGGGAGTGAAGAGAGGAGGAGAGGAGAGGAGAGGAGAGGAGAGGAGAGGAGAGGACAGATGTGGTGTTTTGGGGCTGTCGCTGCTCTCAGACAGATGTGCTGTCATCCTTTGTGTCTCTCTTACAAGGTGAGAGATTGAGGAGAAGGAGCTCTGTTCTTCAACGGCTGAGACACGTTACAGACTTGTGCTAGAAATGCATCCAGCAGGAGATCTATAGCAGCAGAGTGACTGGCATGCAGCCGTATAACTTCCACTCTGAGATGACATATTATTGATTCAGGACTGGTTTGGCTGAGAGCCCCATATGATTATGAAATATGGCCTAATGATTTAATAAGGTGACGCTTGGTCTAGTACACGCCAGCTAAAGACCTGATGATTGGTGATTGCTCCCTCTTTCTTTCTTGGTCTCTCTCATGTGCTGACATTACATACCTCCTGCCCTGTGTATTTACAGTGCAAGCATCCATCAGCTCAGTTAGCCACCGAGCCCTATGGGATATACTGTTGTTTTATTGGAAACTGCAAACATGAGCTTTCCCATTTGACTTTCTTTTTTTTTTTTTTCTATTTCCAAAATGTAAGACCTGAAAAAAGGAGCTTGAGTGATTCCCTAAATGCAAAACAAGGCCTCTTCTTCACACAGCTTTGTTTCTTATTGATTAACTGTATACAGGTCTAGAACCGCCCAGCATAACAACCAGATGATAATTATAATGACGACGACGGTGTTGATGAGAATGATTATGACAATTAGAGACTCCAAATTGATAGCCCCTTACATCTCATTTACGCAATAATCTGAAGCTACCAGATAAATGACCTCCTCGACGCAGATGCCTTTTCCAACCTCTTTCTCTCTTCCTCTGTCAGATAAGGACGCTCACACCTCGTTCCCAACTCAAGGCAAGGCCGGAGAAAGTGCTTCAGCCCCCCTCCCCGATGAGGATTTATTATTGACCAGAACGCACGAATTTAACCCGGGAAGCATATGGCGTTTTGCTGAGGTGCCCTTGAGCAAGACGCACGCTCCTTGCTCTTCACCTGACCCTTCCCCGGGGACATTCCTGAAAGCAGAGCAAGGAACATTTTCCCTGAGGTGGATCAGTGATGTATCACGGTCTGTGCGCTTTGATGCTGGTACCCCCCCTCTTCCTCTTCCTCTTTCTCTCTCATCATCATCCTCATCTTCGCGGAGGAAACAGCGGTGCGTTGCGCCTCACATCCTGACTGTCATTTTTGTCCAAGCCACCCACCCAAGCGAGAATTATCCACACACAGAGATCATTGTGCGCGTTGAGGAGGCTCCGGCCAGAGAGCGAGGGAGAGAGAGAGAGAGGGAGAGAGAGAGAGAGAGAGGGAGAGAGAGAGAGAGATCCTCCTTGGCACACTCCTCCAGCAGTGTGGCAGTGAGATTTTGACTGACTGGCTGACTGACGGGGGGATTCTGGAGGAAACACACCGGGAAGTAACGACACACTCTCTCCTCTTCTTCTTTTTTTTTTCTTCTTCTTCTTCTTCCTTTTTTTCCCTCACACCTTTCCTTCCTCGCTGTCTCGTCTTGTCACCGCCGATGGTTTTCTAGCTGCGCCGCCTGTCTCTCCAACCTCAGCATCGGATTTTTTCCCTGCTTTTTTTTATTTCTTCCTCCCCTTGATTGGCTGAGACCCGGGGGGCTTTTTATCCCAGCCAACCTGGGCCGGGCCGCCGGGCTTGTTCAGCGAGCCTTATAGCTGAAGTTGGCACCCTGAGATGAGCGCCTTGAGACCCGGGAGCTGGGCTCTCTCCTCGCCGGGGAGAGGCTCTGGGTCGTGGCGGTGCTGGTGGTGGTGGTGGGTGGTTGTGGTGGTCGGGCTGGCGGTGGGCTCGGGAGATCCGTGGATGTCCGCGGAGGCATGCCCCGTTCCGTGCTCATGCAGCAGCACCAGGATCTCTTGCGTGGACCCGGAGCGAGGCATCAATGCCTTCCCCGTCCTGCAGAGCGATGCGGAGATGGAGAACATCACCGACATGTGAGTGTGTGTGTGTGTGTGTGTGTGTCCCCTCCCCTCCACCCCATCAATTTACAGAAGGGATTCACATTTATCCAGATTGTTTATTTTTAATTAATTTTTTATAGCCTTCATCATTTTGCTCTATTTTCCCAGACTTTACAGGAATGTCATCCTCACCCCTCCTCTGCCACTTGTGTCTGTCTGACAGCCTCCGGTCAGCACAGACAGAGCCATAGGCGGCACTAATGTTCATTTTGTCCCTATTAATCATCACCTCATGCACGGATTCAGTAACTCAGATAGAAATCTTACAGCCTGCACCCTACGCTTTCTTTCCTCCACGGGTTTGGCTCAGACGTGCATCATGTGTAACCTACATTGCATAACAGAATCACTGCCATCACTGGGCACATCAGTCTCCCAGCGCCGGCGTGGAAAGCATTAAAACTGAAGCTGACAGACTTTTTTTTTTTTTTTAAATTCTGACTAATAGACCCCCACCACAAAATATATAAATCACGCGCGTGCACGTGGCGGGTGCTTTCTGCATGTATGGGTGTGTGTGTGCATGTAGGGGGGGACGCGCACCGAGCAGACAGCACAGTCCAAATATTAGCACAGACACTTCCTAAGATGGCTTATATGAGTGTATTTAAATGAGCCACAAGCGGAGAGAATCGATGCTGAAGGCTAAAAAAAAAGGGTTTGAGGAAGAGGAGGCTGTTGGATATTAATTCAAGAGAAATCTGCATTTAAATGTGCCACCTTTTTTTTTTCTCCTCCCTTCCTCTCTGAACATTTAAAGCATCATGTGGCCCTAAATATAAACTGAGATAGCTGAGAGAAATGAAATGGGAGATTAAAATATTTCATTTCTTGGCAAAGATAAACGGCCTTGTTGATAATGACTTTTGTCAGAGATAAACAATCTCCATCGGCGGCCTTGGAGAAGCCTTGGAAGCTGTTTAAATGAGCCAGCAGTCTGGTGAAAGGCATCCACTGAGTGCTTGGCTAATGTAAACAGACAAATTACTGATGACCGTGCGACGTCTAATTCCAAACGACCTTGCCAAAAAAAAAAAAAAAAAAACGGAGGAGAGAGAGGTTATCGTGTCCCCTTGTCTGTGTTAATTGGTGAGACATCCTGCTTTTTTATGACATCTGCTCTGAATCCTCAGTAACTGCTCAGGATTTAATGGGCTGTCAATGTCAATACATGCTACACAGGAACTCACATGCAGTTGATGTGTCGTTTCTACCCTACAGTGTACCTACAGAGTCAAACTAATCATATTTAGTGGCCATCTGATTAGGAAAATATGCCTCCTAAGTTGAGGAAGTGGGTGTCATAAATAGCTGGATGGCATTTTTAAAAATTTTTTTTGAGTGTGGATCTCCATCAAATATATGAACACAAGACAGAAATATTGAAAGCTTTTCATAAAGACTGAATACAATCTGTTTTGTATCACAGCACTGCTAGATTCCTCTCAGGCGATCTCAGGATAATGCACACATGTGGGTGTAGTAACTCCTTAACTCCTCCCTGCAAAGGGTTCATCAGTGCTGATGGAAACGCCAGTTGTGGATGCATGTGCATTAGGCGATATCATCCAGTAATCTTACTGGAATTGGAAGAGTGTTCACCTCACAGCTGACCTGCAGGTGTTTAACTGCAAGCACCGAATGACTTATTGGTGTTTGATTGTAGGTTACAAATGAGTTTGCTGCCTTAAAAAGCATTTAGTCAGACTGGATATTAGTTGTTCATTGTTATTGTCAGGCAGTTTCTGTCTTTAGTGGAGGTAATTCTTGTGAACTGCTTTTCAAAGGCTGAGTTTAATTTAATTCCTGTTTGTAAACTGTTGAATTTCACTCTGAGTCAACTTTTATAATTATTGAAAGGCACATTTTAGTGTTTATTACTCACTTTTTCTATATATTTTTTGGACTTTATTTGGCATTGATGGCAGAGAGCTGATTGGATGTCAACCAAATGCTTTCTGCCACACTCCAGCTTGGGATCATGCAATTCAATGGCCTACGCTGTGTTACCTATAAAATACAAGCTACTGTATCTCGTCGGATTTGAAATGATTTGCAACAAAAGGTACAAATCATTAGTCCTATTAGAGACACTGTTTTTCCTTTTGGCCACTGTCTACCACCTTAAAAACATTATTTACCAACCCCGCGGTACAGCCGAACAGAATGTGCAATAAGACGGAGTGTTTGTGCAGCACAAAGAGCTCTGCTGTGACTGTAGCGCCGTGTTCCCTCCATGGAAGAGGTGATCCCAGTGCTGGATTTTTGGAAAAAAAATCACATAGGCTGCTTTTCAGACCCTGTTCACACGCTTTTATTCGTCCACATAAGGGAGTTGCCTGCAATCATCTCCTGCTGGGCCCTGAACACAAAGAGGTCAAGTGCCTTGCTCAAGTGCTGCTGAGGAAAAGAGGCAGAAACCAGTAAAAACTTAACAGTGCCCCCTGTGTGCCACATATCAGCTGTAACCCTGCAGGAGTCCATTTTTGTAATTTTCATCCCTACTTGTAGTTCTTTGTCTTATTAAAGTGTTTCTGTTTCTGTTTGCACATGTTCACAAGTGAGCCTTCTGACACACTCTTGTATCTCGTGACAGCTACATCGCCAACCAGAGCAGCTTCTCCTCCATCAACGACAAAGACCTGTACTATTACAAGAATCTCAGGAACCTGTGAGTCTTTCGTGGCTTGTTTTACCAAGAAAAAGGCTTCATCGTCAGGCGCACAGTCTTGAGTTATAGCCAGTAAACCAAATTTCCAAAAACAATGATTACAAGCTTTGTGCTGTGTTAGATATATTTTTATTATATGGCTTCTCCGCTGACCAGCTACACTCTGTTAAAGTGCTCTTGTGCTGTAATGGGCCCCAAATATATGAGCTGCTTTTTAAGGCATTTCAGCAGCATTTCTATACTTATTTATCTCAATAAAGTCCACCATATGAGACACATTAATTTCATTTGGCAATATATCGACCATGTTTGCTGCTTCAGAACCTTGCTGTGTTTATCTTTGTGTCCCACAGTGTTTGCAGTCAGTCTGGTTCGCTATGTTTCTATGTCTCATTTTATTTCTTAATTTAAAAAAGAACTGTCTTCCAACAAGCACCCTCTTGCTACGTAAAAAATCTGTTAAGTAGACGCTACCTAATTTCCCAGCCAATATCCCATTTGGTAGACAAATTAGCACAAAGCACATTATGCACTGCAAGTACTTGCTTTTAATTGTGGTTGGACCCGATGGGAGCAAAACTCTAAAGGCAGGAAGGATGAGTGCTCTGTTTGAGCTACTATCAAGAACAATTGTCCTGTGTGTCTTAGAAATACTTCAAACACAATTACACATGCAGTGCTAATATTTTGTAAGAAAACGGTCGATACCCATATGATGAGACTGTTTCACACTTTGAATGTTTGCACAGTAATGACTCGCGAAGTGGCGCATTTTTAGACGGTGGAGTGACATCTGCGCTCAGTCGTGGGTTTTGTCAGACCGTCAGTCACAGAGCATAGTTTAAAGCAGCTTCATAGCAGACGACGGGATTGTCTTACAGCCTGACCTCAGCTGACGAAGGGCATCTAGTTTTAACATTATACAGTAATGAAGTCAGGTCAAGTCACCCTTATTTGTACAGCACAGTTTAAGAAATAACCTCACCTTAACCCCACAACGGGGTCACTCATGGGGCAGAACATGTTGCTTGATTCGACCATTTCACCCAGAATGCTGGGTTGTTTCATTTGACCCAGCTTCATGAGTAAATAATGAGAACAATAATAATAATGTATATTGTATAATACTTACTGTTGTTGTGCACTTGACAATAATTTTTCCATAATCATACAAAAACGAACAATACAAAAGGAGGCCACTGTTCACATGCATGTAGTGATAATTTACAAAATAAGTTCTTATGCATAAATACAAACGTACCACTGTATGCAACTCATGACTTTATTTTCTGTAAATTAAGCCGACTAGTTGCATCTACAGGACATGTGAATTGTATTTTGTGCTCAGTTGAACCACCTGATGATTAGATTGGAGCCAAATGAAGAAATTCTTATAATAACTTTACCTCATGGGAATTAATAAATCTAAAATACACCAGCGTCTACAGAAACAGCCTCAGTCAGACAGAATCCATGGATGTTATTATCATTTCAGTTGCCACATTGTTTAATTAAAGTCGCATAAATGAACGATAATAAACAGCCTGCCTTAGAGATGAATAGATTTAATCTGAAAAAACACTGAAAGCAGCAGGAAGTCTTTCCGAGCTCTCATTCAGTTAACTTCTCCCTTAGAAAAAAAAATAAAAATATTCCATCAATGTCAGCAGAACTCAGTCACATAAGGAGATTGAAAATTCAGATTGGGTCCATCACAAAACTCTGCAGAAGTATTACAGTGACTTCAAATGTTTAATTCATGTTTTACAGTGTAACCTCAGCTTGGTATTCTACAATATGTTCCACTGTTCACATTTCACACGTTCTTCTACTGGCTGTTGCTCCACGAGACTCAGATTTTTTCTTTTTTTGACAGATCGGTAACAATGCCATGCCTCCTTACGTTCATAACATGACTCCATGAAGGATTATTGCATGTTGTCTTAGTTTACACACAGTTTATACTCAAAACTTTGATCGTAATTTTTGCCTTTTGTACCGTAAACTTATGTATTGTCACTTTTCTATAGAGAAAAAAAACATTTATAAGTTGTGACTAATGTCAATAAATTATTAAGTTATAAGACATCAATGAGAACAGCATTTGGGTTGCCAGGTTGCCCTTTTTGCTGGTAAATATCCTCCTTTAGGATGAATTATGGAGTTGCACATTAACTTGAAGTCAGTTTTTTTTTGTTTTTTTGTTTTGCTGCGGTTGTGAATGCTGATGTTGCAACGTGTATGACGATGTTAATGATGCTGTATTGTCTTGTGTCAGAACGGTGACCAACAGCAGGTTAACATACGTATCAAAGCTGGCCTTTCAGAACAACATCAAGTTACAGTACCTGTGAGTAAAGCTTCCTGTTTATTCCTTGACTTTTACTGACATAACAGCACTGATTTATTTTCAGCTTTTGGTGAGATTACAACATTATCTTCTAAAATTAGTAGCATTGTTGTATTTACAGTAATGTTAAATGGACCTAGTTGTAACAATATGAGGTGAAAAAAAAAAAAAAAAGCCTGTGATGGCCGAGAGACTAATGGAAAATGAAGTCCAGTGTAGGTTAACAAGACTTCTAATTGATCGTCAAATCTCGGTACCTTGTCAACATAATTAAAATTTGATGCTTATTATACTTAAACTAATGCACCACTTAAGGTTAATTGTCACAATCCTGAGAGGGGAAAACTTTTAATGAGAAAAATAAGGCAGGCTTATTAGTGTACATAGAGGTGCACACACACACACATGCCATTAGCTGCTGTAAAAACAACCTGATACTTTGTTGTGGTGTTGCAAACGCAATCTCACTCCCTGATGTTCGATTTAATTTCCAGGAATCTGAAAGATAACAACCTGTCATCCCTGTCCTGGAGGATATTCAAACACATCAACATCTCTTATCTGTGAGTTCAGAGGAGCCCTCACTATCAGTCTGTCTATCTCTGTGTGTCTGTCTGCTTTACCTCCCAGCCACTATCTCCGCGTTCAGATAAACAGAGACCTATAGCATCTGTAATGTCACCTATAGGTGTCTGTTCTGGAGTTGGGAGTTGCCGCTTCCTTCAATCTCACCATTTCCTGACGGTAGAAAATGATTTTTTAAAAATTAAGATTGAGGCAACCAAGTAAAGATTGTAAGCCGCCGAATGCTGATAATCTGTGACAGCTATCGATAAACACAAACATGGCGGCAAGCGTTTCTGTAATGATGCAATATTTTTGCATCGAGAGTTATTGAGACGCTGAAAATGTGGGGAAAAAAAATACACCCATTGTATTTAAAAAGAGAAAATTGGGACATTCCTTCTATTCGCTTTATACTGCTTAATGGATTGTTATTTATTCTTAGTGGCACTGGATGAACTGCATGTTAAAGAAATAGTCTGACTTTCCTGTAGAGTGTTAGATGAGATGATTGACAACAATTCAATTCAAAATTTGAATTTCCCCAAGTATGAGTAAAGTATCTATCTATCCATCTATCTATCTATCTATCTATCTATCTATCTATCTATCTATCTATCTATCTATCTATCTATCTGTCTATCTATCTATCTATCTGTCTATCTGTCTATCTGTCTATCTATCTATCTATCTATCTATCTATCTATCTATGAAGAATCAGGGGGTCAAAGGGTAAAAAGGTCAAGATTCCCTTTCACGTGAGGTTTTGTTTATTAACCAGCGGCTCTCTGGTGTCTACCTGACAACATCGCGGTGACAGCGAGCTGTAGAGGTGCTGCTGGGTGGATGTTGTTACCATTTGGTGAAACCAGGCCGCCTGTTTCCTCCTGTTTCCAGCTTTTATGCTAAGCAAAGCTAACGGGCCTCTGGCTACAGTTTTATATTCAGCCAGTGATAATGGCACCGACCTTCTAATCTGACTCTCGACAGGAAAGCAAATAAGCATATTTCCCAACATTTTAAACCGTTCCTTTAAGGCACTTTAAAACTCTGCTGTGGCAGAAGTCAAATAGTTACAGTTCAGTTATTGCTTACTTTTTTTCCCCCTTAAATTTCTGTCACTGTCTGTCGCTCTGCTGCTCGCTGTTCCTCGCCGTTCTTCACTGTGTGTGTGTTTGTGTGTGTGTGTGTGTGTGTTTGTGTGTGTGTGTAGGATCCTGTCAGGGAACCCGCTGCACTGCTCCTGTGAGAACATGTGGATCAAGCTGTGGTTAGGAGAGGAAGCAGACAATCAGGAGCTGCGCTGCATCGAGGATGGAGGAGCACGCAAGAAGCTGTCCAGACTGGCATTACCTAACTGTGGTAAGGACACACAGTCACACACACTCACACACACACACACACTGAGAAAATAACTGGAAAAATCATTCACAAGCTGGAGCAGAGGGTAAAGTGTTGAAGCACCTAGAGGGGAAAAAAAAGAGCCATCCTTGTATTGGTTTTGTGTGTTCTTGTTTTCTTTGCGTGAGCCTGACGCATCTGTTTTTATGTTTTTCCAGTTGTGTGTTTGCACAAATGTTTATGCGTTTAAGTGCAGGATATATGCAGTATGAAACCTGTGATAGTATGCCAAGTGTGCGAGGTGTTCCGTCCTTTCTCTCGGGGTGTGTAGGCTAAACGGCGAGAGAAAGTGAAATTTGTTGTTACCACCTACGAGAATATCTGTACAAAGAATACAATGCATGCACTGACTACAGCCGCTGCAGTAATCAGTGGTGTATACCTGCTGGTATGTGAGTTTCCACAGGCTGCAGGGAGGGTTCTGCATGCACTGTATTTCACTTACACGGGGCTCTGCTTAGTCCGTATATTGCAATTTCCCTCGACACTGTGCAGTGCCGAAAGCTACAATGTCTTACACATGAACAAGCAAACAAATGACCAAATGAAAGCATGCATGCACACTGAGGGCTCTGTTTTCGTAGAGGGCTTATAAGCGGAGTTTGGTCTCTGCTGCGTGTCACTAAAATGCCATTAACACTAAGCAGGCAGATATATCTTTGTCCTGTAGGGATTTTTCTCATGTGACGCATAGATTAGCTGCCAGACGGAGGAGAGAGAAATGTGTGACATGCTGACTGGTGTGTGTTTATGTGTGTGTGTGGGTTGTGTCATCTTATAGACTGGCTACAGTCATCTGAGACATTTGCTCATAGGTATAGAAAGGTCACTGTACAAGACAGTATAGAGGCAGAGAGAGATCTCATACCGAGAAGGAACATTTGTGTAATTCAACACACAGATGATATCAGGGAGTCTGAAAGATGCTGAGTGGAGAAAATCCTTTGCATGTATCACAGCAAAATGAAGTGTTATAAAGACCATCTGCACCGTGTCCTATAGCACCAGTGACCTGCTGTCACACAGCAGATTTCACTTCCTTTGTCTGAATCATCATGTTTTGTTCATCTGGGGGGGAAAAAAAAAAATCCTTTCTGGTTTTATGGAAAGCTGCATTAAAATACTCAACAGCAACAGCAATAATGATGTTTTATGAGCAATAAAAGACGCTTCCCACAGATTCAGTTCTAAAAAATTAGAGAATATTTTTGTTAGCAACGCTGCAAAGAAACAAAGTGAAGCGTTCCTATAAGGAATAATGCGGCCATAAAACCAGAAAACTGTTTGAAGCCTGACATTTTCAACAGTGCATACAATTACTTACAACCCAAGTATAATGCCAAGCTAACCAGAAAGCTGACTGTCACTCCAGGACAGTCTTCCACAGACCACAAGCCTTTTATGCACTTGCTTATGGGAGTGTTTATCAAGCTTGAATGTATAAATGTCAGCGGTTAATTGACGCTTTATTCTCCTCTTCTTTATATGCACTGCATGAATTTTTCATGAATCTCTCTATTTTGGGCACTCTTCTATTCATAAATGGGGTCAGATTACAGCTTGACCTGTCTCTGAAAGTCTGTCTGACCTGCTCTCATTCTTCTGGGTTTGCTGGTTTTTAGAGGCTCATATCATGGCCTAAACTGACATTTAATAATAGTTGAAGAGCTTGAGTTTGACCCAAGTAAACAAATGAAACTTGTTCCAGCTTTGTTCGGCCGATGGAGTGCTGAGGGATTGTTAGTCCGGTCCGATCCAGTTTGTTTTTGTAAAATGAGAACATCAAGCATTATAAGTCCTCAACTGAAATGTAATCAGATTTTTACCCCAATAAACTAAAGCATAAATCTTGAGGTATTTTGCCCTCTCTGTTGTCGACAGAGCAAATTATCTGATCAAAAATAGCTCAGGGCAATCGGGACGCTCAGGACACAAACAATAAGTTAGCTTGCAGGAAGCTAACAATGTCATTGATAACTCCTATTGATCTGTCCCCTCTGCCTCCCCTCCATTAGCAGGGGTTATTTTTGGCATTAGCACAGTTACAGCAGGGCCCCTGGAGAGGTGATCAGGGGACCCCCTGGCAGAGTGACATATGAGTAGGAGGACACAGTGGGGCAGGGGTGCCAAATAATGCCCCAGGGCTAACAGTGATATACCAAAAGACCTCTCAGTCTGGCCAAACTGCCGGCCTGCTCCTCTCTGGTCATCGTTCCCTCTCTTTATTCCTCATTTTCCATCTGCCTGTCTGCTTCATGTATGTCCTTCTGTCTGCATGTCTGAACATTTCTGAGTGACATTATGAGGGAGGCACAAAGGAGAGGAAATGCCCAATGATGCCCTCAGGCTGACACTGATCTCTCAGGCCGGCCTCATATGTCTCTCTCTCTCTGTGGACTGTTTACTGCTGGAGCTCCACCCAGAGAGGCTGGCAAACACTGACTGCTCCCGCTGCTGACCGACACAAAACTTTAAGGAAAAGCGCTGCTCAGATGTTGCTGCAGTCCCGTGCCAGTGCGATATGAAAACAAGTCAACTGTGTCACTCAGCAAAAATGTCGGAGTTCAAGCAGCTGCGGGTCTTAAAACACTCCCACTCACTTGTTTGTCAAGATGATTAAAGTAATAAAAGAGCTATATAAAACTTATGAACTCCTCACTCTTGTATAATTGCCTTGGATAACTCTTTGTTACTTTAGTGTTTTGCTCGTTAATGTGAAAATCAAGAAATTATGTTTGTCCCGTCATCGCTCTCATTATGTCGTTACACCTTAAGTTTTCTGCTGAAAGGTATAAACGTGAATAACTGGAACCAGCCGTCCGCCTGAGCAAAGGTGTTTTTGTTCATATGCTGTGGAAATGACAGCAGATGAATTACCAGATCTCTTTTGGTCGCATCACAGGTGCGTCTTCATTTGTCTCCCTCTCCGTTTGTCCCTCGGTTCATCTGTTCGGCTGGGATGGCTGTCTCTCACGCTCTCAGTCATCCCTTTTTCTATCATTTAATTACCGCTCTTGCTTCCTCCGTCTCCATCCGTCCGTCTCCATCTCATATTCCCGTATCTTTACATGTGAGTCGACCGTACGCGCTTTTCTCTCTCTTGTCGTCTGAGCAGCTACACATGTAAAACAAACATGCAGCATGTAGACACAAGCAGTAAATGGCAGCACAGACCAACCGACGAGGCCAGATGGCTCCTATCAGTGTTTGTGGGCAGGCGATGCTATTCACATGTGTGAATTTTCTATTGTCAGACAGGGAGACCACTCACTTGCGGGTTAGATAACAAGGAATTAAACAAGACACAAAAGCTGTAATACAAAATTAAATCAACACAGATGCTAGGAAGCACAATGAAAAAAAAAAAAAAGGAAAGCCGGCACAGTGCAGACTGACACGAGCAGACTGGGATAGTATTCATACCTTCTAACCAAAGTGTTTCAGGAGGTTGTTGTTGGGGCATGTTTAAAGTAATGGACATGTCGTTTAGAGCTATTCTACCAACATTTGGGTCTCGTAACTTCCTTTTAAGGCAATGCCGCTGTCATTTTGGAGTGAAGTTTTCCTACAGAAGGGTTCAAGAGGGATTAAAAAAGAGCTTCCAAAGCAGAAGAGCACAGCTGGGTTAAAGAGCTCAGTAAATCATCTTTATTGGAAAAGGAAAAAGATTTTAAAATGTAATTGGGAACATTGCGTATAAAGACAGAGTACTTTTTGAGACCCCCCTGAGTAGTAAATATGTTGACAGCGTCCATCTACGCTTCACAATTTTCTTCCAGTGCAGGAAGCTGTGTGTACTTTATGGAGAGAAGTGAATAGTACGGTTGTCTGAGACTGTAATGCAGGAAACCAAAGTTCCATGCTTTTAATACCCTTTAAGGAATTCTCTCCAACCAACCAAGACTTAACCTTAATTCATTTGCCACCATTACAGTATGTATTTCCCTGACCAGAACATTCGCCTCGTAACAAGTACTGTTAGAAAGTGAGAACGTGGGGGGAAAAAAACACCAAAACAAACTTTGACACTGAAAATAATGTGTGAGTTCTGCAAAAATATCATTGGTTGAGTTGGTCAGACTCCAAAAATAAGCAATTAAATAAAGGAAATCAAGATAATTATCAAGAATACTAAAAATCTTTCCACGGTAGCAGAAATGTAGCACTCCTTCAGATAAAAAAAAAAGTAGAAGAGCAACAGACGGAGGCAATCAAATCCTTCAAATGATCCGATGTCAGAGTCACAGCATTCCAGGTGTCAGTCTAATTGACTGTAAGCTCAGACAAGAAATCAACAATCATTAACAGATGTGAATTCTGCTCATCCTCCTCGCTTTGCCTCTGCATTGTTTCGTGAATCCCTCTCACAATGCAATGACAGCTTCACTGTGCACGAACAACAATCTAGAGGCAAACTTGCGGACGGATTTTGTGTTGTCTGACTCTCCGGCACATTTCCTCCCTCTCCCTGTTGTTTAGTTTGTCAGAAATCTTTCTCTCTTCTGCCTAGCTTCTGCCTCTCCTCAGAAATCACCGCATCTCTGTGGTGGAAAGGAAGGAGGGTTACATAATACATGTGAACATTCCTCTAAACATTGATACGGACGTGCCTATTGTGGCCTATAACAAGGGCTGACAACAATGACACCTCCAACAATGATGCTGAAGTATGCTGTGGCATATTGTGTGGAGGTTTCAATCCGGAGAGCAGTGGATGTTTTCCTTTTAAATATGAGCTGCGAGCAGTTATTCAGTGCCAGATCCCATATCCCTGGTGCCGTGCTTGTAATTCACAGCCCATTCATAGTACATGCTCCTGGTGAATGAAAGCCATCTGGATTCAAGGAGTGTTAAGGACTTTCATATATGCATAGTGTAATGTATTACACATGCAATCATTCTTCAAATACATTAAAAGGTGAGATTTTCAGGGTCACAGTTTTGATCAGTTCTCTGCCTGTGAATCTGTTGTTTACAGGAAAGAAGTTTCTTTTGTGACAATTCAGGAAAGCATATTATATATATATGTAAATTAGTTCCTGATGGTGCACCATTGTCCCACAAAATAATGATAGTACGCACTCAGTAGTCATGACAGCATTAGTGCATAACCATGCATTATTAATGGGTTTAGACCACGCCCATCTTTGAACTCATCCTTCCATTTGATCTCAGTTATACACCTGTAAAGTTTGGCTACTGCATCTTGCATGACTTGCGTGCCAAAGTGCTTAAAACCACCTTTGTGTTAACTACTGATACAGCAGGTGTCTCCAGGGCCATCTTTTGCGATATCAGCCACGCAGTCATGGCTGCTAACAAATAAAAGGAGATCAAATTTATTGTGAAATATAAATCAAAATGCAAAGTATAAAAGTTTATTTTTTTATTCACAGTATCCAAAAACTATTTCTCTACTATCTGCTGAAATTATCCTCAGTTGCTGAAATGACAGCAGATGGGATCCAGTCTTAGTAAACCATTTCTTTGCAGCCAAAACCAAGAAACTGAGTTATTTCCAGTTATTTATCCTGGCAGTGTAAGATTGATGTAAAATAAGGACACACCATGTTGTAGATAGAATTACTTGTATGTATGCCCATGCCTAGCAGAAACCACTGAATGAATGAATGAATAATTAGCTTTTCAATTAAAATACCTCACGGAGGCACTGCGTAGTAGACTTATTCAGACAATGCCTGACTCCACCTAACTCCAAGCTCATCCAAAAATGGAGGGATGGAGTGGAAATGGATTGTCCTGTAACGCCGCTCATCTGTTACTGAAAGTGTCAGCACCTCTTAAATATGCATAACTTTAAGCCTTGATAGAATCTAAACAGGCAAGTCATAAAGAAATTCATTCTCCATAGAGTTATCAAGAAACAGGAAAATCAGCTATAGATACCTTTTTTCCTTTTTGTAACCAGACCGTAAACATGTTTATTTCTGATTTAAAGTTGGGCATTTTAACACTGGGGTCAATGGGGATCGACTCGCTTGTGGAGCCAGCCTCAAGTGGTAGTTTAAGGAAACTGCAATTTTTAACAATTGGCTTCATTTTTCTGTACCGGACGTTGCTGCTTGGTGCAGACAGGTGAGAAATTAAAAGCAAATCAGTGCAAAAACATAATAATGCAGATGCTTCTATAAAGTGCGTAAGAGGTTACAACCGGGGTTTGATGAGTATTAAATGTGAATCTTACGCCCTGGACACTGTCTGCGGATTTGAAACAAGGCATGACAGGGTTCTTGACCACCATCGTCACAACACCAAATGAAGCAGTATTTTTTGTAGAGTTCATTCCTTCAGATGAGGTTCCAGTAGATTAGAGAATCTGTGCTAAGGAGCATCAAAGCTGTTCAGGCAGCTCTCAGCGACACGAGACACTTTTTTTTCCTTTAATCTGTCACCATTGTATTTCTCCATTGCTGGTGTGTACATGAAGTGAACAATTATAGGCAGAGTAGTTTTTGGAAGAAATTAGTCCACTGGCAGCACTACGTTGCTGATAAATCATTCATGATTCTCGATTAGTCTGCAAACACGTGAGCTCCACGGCACTTTTAGGATTTAGTCGTCTTTGTTTCTTTTAATTTGGTTCATTCTTCATTTTGTAAATATTTGTCACAAATGACAAAACAGTTCCAACTCAGTCCACAGAGATGTTCTCAGTGGTACAGATAAAATCATACCAGCTCCTGAGCTCACATGTCAACAGATCCACCTCAACGACCTCTGAGCAAACCCAATTCATTAATGAATACCGCGTGATACGACTGAACGCTGGTGACTGGACCGTGAGTTGGGACTGCTTTGTCCAAACACTAAAGGACAACACTTTTGACCCGTCTCTGGCTTCCTTATATTTGCCGTGAATGTTGTGCATTAGCGCTCTACTGCATTGCTGGCTCACCCTCGGCAGACACTCGACTGCCAGTATTTTCCATATGTTCACAACTGGCTGCAGGTGGGCTGTAGCACAGGCCAAACGCTGAAGCACATAATGCTGAAATCGTTCCACGTAATGACTCAGTGTTGTCACAGGCACAGGCTGGTCTGGTGCGCTAATTACAATAAATTCCTCTTCAGTCCCACTTGTTGATTCTGAACACATCCAAGCAGCTGAAGGATTACAATCACACAGAGTGTCGTGGACGGTTCGACTACCAAAGCTGCGCTTGTAAATAATTGAACATGGGCACACATTTCTATGAACTGACAGGTCATGACTACTGCCAAAGTGGTTTCCAGAAGTTTTTTTTAATTTTAATTTTTTTGGTGTGTGTGTGTGAGTGTGTGCGTGTGTGTAATGTGACCTGCAGATGGCTGTAGTAGCAGTAGAAAGTTGATTTACTGAGAGCCTGTTAAGATATGTGGTTCTGATATGGCAGCTGGCCTGCCACCACTGAAATGACTGGTTTTACTGCGTCTCATGGTGATTGAGTGGGTTGCCGTAGTGATAAGTGGGTTGCCCTGGTGATAAGCATTCTGCCGACGGACAGAAGAGGTTGGAAGAGGGGGTAGATGGGGAGAGGAGAGGGTTTGATAAGAAATCTGTCCTGTTTTATCTGCTGTTGCTGTCGACACCCGATTCTTCTCTTCTCTTCTCTTCTCTTCTCTTCTCTTCTCTTCTCTTCGCTTCTCTTCTCTTCTCGTCTTGTCTCTTCTCGTCTTTGCCACAAGGGTGGTAAGACTCTGATTGAGTCTGATTAATCAGGCTCAGGTCACCTCCTGGTCAGCTGTGTAGACACACACGAACAAACACACACACACACACACACACAGTCACCAGTATCTTTGCTTTGACAGAGGCTTCAGACTGTGTCCAATCAATTTAGTACTTGGGCTGCTGGAGACATGAGCTAGTAATCAGTGTAACCATCACTGTGTTTGAACTCTGTCTCTTTGTCTGACTGTTTGATTGGGGTGAGTGTGCTTAAATGAAAGCGAGAGAGAGAGCGAGAGAGCGAGAGGGAGGCAGGCAGGCAGGCAGGGAGGGGGGTGAGATTGAATTCGAGGTCTTTCTTTGTGTGGCTTTCTTCTCACTCTGTGGTAGTGGGTGTGTGTTTGCCTGCTCTTCCACTCTTATTGTCGAGGTTGTTACGTGCCTTGTGTTTCAACTGAAAAGACAAGAGTTGGGCCATGAATCCTAAGTTCGCTTCCTTACTTTCCTCACCCCCCTCCGCCTCTTCTCTCTCCCGTCTCCTCTTTTCCCGCTCCCTGGTTGTATGTAGAGGTTCCCATGGCAACGTTGAGCCCATCCAAAGTGACAGTAATGGAGGGGGAGAACGTGCAGCTGTCCTGCACCACCTCTGGCGTGCCCTCACCTGAGCTGATCTGGAACATGGTGCTGGTCACCAACTATGAGGTTAGGTCACACACACACACACACACACACACACACACACACACACACACACACNCACACACACACACACACACACACACGACGCACACACAGCAGGATAACTGCAGGTTTGTTAGGATTACATGTGTTTCCACGGGTTTCCAGATGCCTCAGTTGCCAGCCTGTGAGGATCATGTAAAGCTAATGCGGCTATCCTGCGATAAATCCCAGCTTCATGGGGAAAATGTTCGTTTTTTTTTGTTGAAACTATTTTAAAGAGGTATTGAATCAACTTTATGGTCCTGCTCGGCGCTGTAGTTTGTGGCACTGTCCGACTGTATTGCGTCCACTGACAGTGTTTCTAATGTTTACGCCACCCTGGACAAAATATTAGAAACGCGTTTCAGTGTAGTTCAGCATCTCAGTGCAGCTCAACAGCAATATATCGGCAGCTGCCAAGAGAGCCATTAAGTTGAATCAAGACCTCCTTTAACAGAAACTGAACATTACAACACTCATGAAAGTAGAATTTATTAGCACTGATGCATGTACCTCATAAACTAGGATCTTAGTGTATGATGATAAACAGGACCGTCTGTCAGTTCGATAATCAAGCAACACGTAGACGTCGGCTTGGAGTCCAGAAAATTCTGATGGACAATTTCACTATTTTCTAGGAATTTATTTAACAACAACTAGATATATATCATATCATAGATTAATCAATAAAATCACTGCCAGACTGTCAGGTACTGACTCCTTAACAATCTGCGAAAGGAATCTACAGCTTAGTATTTTGCATTCATCCTCCCAAATCATCCTCGTGTCAAGCTAAGTTCACATTTAATGTAAGTATTGAAAACCACACATAACCCCAAAGGAACTAAATCATCATTCTGATATATATTTGCATGCGTTTTCACACTCAGATCGAGACATCTGGCCAGATTTCGGAGCTGCGACTGTCTAACCTGTCGTCGCTGGATCACAACAGCAAGATCAGCTGCACGGCTGAGAACATTGTCGGAGAGAAGGAGTCCTCCCTGCTGCTGGATATACTTTGTACGTTTACCCTCTGGCAAGCAGCCCTACTTCAGTGCAGATTAATGTGTCAGAGTGCCCGTCCACGTAGAGTAGTCTTTAAAACAGAGAATTAAAAGCTTGAGAAGACAACAGTTCCTCTCATCTTTTAATCAGTGTTTTTGCATGCTTGGCTAGTTTTACCTCCGGCCTGATCTTGCCTCTGTCTTTTTCTGTTTGTATTTCGTACTGTTGCTCACACGTAAACTCTCTGTTCGCTCCACTTTCCATCAGTTCCTCCCAAAATCACCAAGCTGAGTGACGCGATCCCAGATCATAACTGGTGCATCCCCTTCAGTGTTGCAGGTATGAGAGACATCTAGAATAATCTCCTTTAGTAACACTTTGATGTTTGTTTTCTGTGTTTGGCAAAAAACCTTAACATGAAGTAAAACCAATCGACATTACTGATATCGTCTTCGTGACATTTCTAGGAAACCCAGAGCCACAGCTGCAGTGGTTTCTGGATGATGATGCTGTGACGGAGGGGCGCTACATCATGACCATGATCCATGATGTCACGGAGAGAGAGTACCACGGCTGCCTGGAGCTCGACAACCCCACACACCTCAACAACGGACGCTACAGGCTGTTGGCTAAAAACATATACGGGTCAGACCAAAAGGAGGTGGTGGCTCACTTCATGCGGCAGCCCTGGGATGGTGAGGAGCAACGCTGCAGATTGTTTCATGGTCCGCTTTCAGGCCATTTTTTAAAATAAGGTTACTCCTGTGATGGTGTGCAGCGCCAAGGATAGCTGCTTCCAAAACTGAGCTTTAAATTTTATTTTAAAGCAGCTGGAAGTCAGAGCTGAAAATGACCTGATTAGTTATTCAACAGGAAACTAATCAGTGACTATTGTTCTAATCAATTCATCATTTAATTAATGTCTCAAGCTACACTACACTTTACCTTCTAAAATGTAACATTCAGCTTTTACAATGTCAGTTTTAACACCAAAAATATGCAGAATAATCAACAATAATAAAAAAAAAAGGTCACTTTTATAATTGGCAAACCTTTGCATAACTTTTCTTAGTGCATACTTTTATTTTCTTATTTTTTGTCTTTGTAACGGCAGGAAGCCTTCGACAACAATGACAAACTCGAAGAAATCATCACTTTTATCGTAGCTGTTACTTTTACAGCTGTTCAAATCTGTCTTTGTAGAGTTACCCTTCATTATTCAGTTGCACATTTTTGTTTAGCAAACAGAGAGTGCTTTTGACTCCCTCTGCAAGGAGACTCTTTCTTTAGAATTCTAAAGCACCATCCTGTCAATGACACTGTTCACTGCTTAAATATGAATGCAGACTGTGTATATATGTGTTTTGCCATCTGGGTAATGTGTACAGACTGATGATGAGGGGTGGGCTGTTGAAATGCATGCAAAATAAAGGGATGCCATTCCAGCAAGGTTCAGTTTTGAATTGGCAATTATCAGTAGGCCCTTAGATTTGAAGGAGGATCTGGTATTATCAGATTATTTGCATTGTGTTCAGGTGTGTCTGACTTAAGAGCTATACTCCCTTGTGGATATGCACACAAACAATTGTGGACATCACAGACAAATAGAATAAAATATCCTTCATTAGTCCCAAAGAGAGGAAATTGACAATAAGAAAACACACCTATAATTTAAAGAGGCGAGGTATGTACACTATATATACAATATAAATAAGAAAAACAAAGGAACACAAGTATACTAAGAAAACAAATGTAAGAATTTTTACATGACTACATTTACATAGTTGTTGTTAATATGCAGCTCTCTGGTCTGCACTTGGAGGACACGGTCCAGATATCCACAGTAAATCGGTATAAACGTATTCCACAAAAGCACATTGCTGTCCTTGTAGTGTGCTTGACACAAGCTCTGGGCTCCATGTGTCACTCAGACACACACATACATGTATTACACTGTACACTGGCCTCATATTTGACTCTTACACTTCAGTACATGAGGGTCCAGTAGTGGCCACGTGACATAGATTCATACAAGGACATGCTTAGAAGACACCCAGAAAGACCTCCATACGGACCAGAAAGTAGTGTCATAACAACAGCTACATGTTTGTTGTATCCACAGCTATCTGAGGGAGCATAATAAAGGCTTAACACTGGCCTTGAGGCCAGAGTACATACATCTGAGATACAGTATGAAACATTTTACGAAGATGCGGAATGGCGGATGTATGAAGGATAACAATAATTAAAGGCAACAACTTTAAAAAGCAACACTTTTACCCAATTTAGCATCAGGCTAAAGGCCCACATGACGAAAGATATATACCTTACTGATAGAACTTAACTTCTACAGCTTGTGTGAAGGAAAATATTTAACCTACTGTGCAGGTACTGGGCTACAAGGTGGTGCAGTTAGTAGCACTGTTGCCTCGCAGCAAGATCTTTCTGCGTGGAGTTTGCATGTTCTCCCCGTGCAGCGTGGGTTCTCTCCGGGTTCTTCCTCCCACAAGTCCAAAAACATGTTGAGGTTAATTAGTGATTGTAAATTGTCTGTAGGTGTGAATGTGAGTGTGCTTGGTTGTCTGTCTCTAAGTGTAGCCCTGTGATAGACTGGTGACCTGTCCAGGGTGTCCTAAGTCAGCTGGGATAGACTCCAGCCCCCCAAGACCCTAGTGAGGATTAAGCGGTGTATAGATAATGGATGGATGGATGTGCAGGTACTGTCTAAAAAAATATTTTTTTTAGGGTTATTAAATTAAAACTTTTTTGCTTTTGTCTCAATGTGCAGGAACTGAAAGGGAGCCTTACTATTATGGTGCGTTTTGATTTCTCCTTTTGTTTTCACATTGATAAAATTGTTAAATGCAACACATCCAGTCTATTCAGTGTCAGTGTTCCTAGATCAATGTTTTTTATGTTTAACATCATCTTCATCAGTTAACACAAATTACATTTTAGAAATCTTTCTCTCTCTCTTTTTCTCTCAAGTTGCTGAGGGTGCGTTTACATACCTACCTAGAGATTAGGGTTGATGTGGTGTTTTTTTGTTTTTTTTTCCTTTTTCTTTTTTTTTCTCACAATGTGGCCCTGATGTTGTTGTTGTTGTTATTATTATTATTATTATTATTTCTTATGTTGTGCACGTTCAATGTATGTTGTTTCGTTGGTGTGCGTGTATTGTGTTTGTGTAATGTTTTTTGAATCGAGCTCAGAGAACAGGCATGATTGACAGTATTTATTGTGAGGTGCATGTTAAAAAATGTTTACAGTTAAATAAGCTTTTTTATGTTTGAGATCTAATTCATCTTTGTCTGTCTCTTTCTCCGACGCCTCGTCCCGCCTGCAGATATAACCACAGGTACGGCCACGTCTTTTATTTGCTCACTCCTGCTCACAAGCAACACAGTCGAATTAACTGCCTGTCCCTTTTTTTTTTTTTTACTGATGCTACGCTGTCAAGGTTTCCGCTACAACATACGTAGTTTACTGTGAGAATGGCTGCAGATTTGCCATTAAATTTTGAAAACAAGGTCGTTGAAAGAGCTCAGCTGTGACTGAGATTTGCTGTTAATCAACAAAAAAACACACTAACCACCTTGAGCTTATTTCATTCAATGAGCCAGCAGTCTATGGTTCAGGGTGACCAGGAAATGACATATTCTGTATTCTTGTTCAAGATTTGTATTTTTTTAATATGTGTGTTTATATCACATGTGGTAGAGCAGTGTCCTATACTTAATCACTTCTTGAGTCTTCTTCTGTTTTATTCCTCTCCTGCATGAACAGACGCCTCCCCTGTGGAGCCACCTGAGGACCGAGTCGCTGTAAGTCACTCTTTCACTGTTTTCCTACGGCTCTATCTCTTTTTCTGATTGCCTCTGTCAGTTGTTTACTATTTGTCCCCTGTTTTGCTTTCATTTATTTGTGTTACCTGTCTAGAAACACCTGAGCTGGATCTATTTTTTTTAATGTTGCCCGTAATTGAAACGAACCCAACACGCTGAGGATCGAGCAGCACTTGAGAAAACCTGCCTTTCTCTAACAGTGATACAAACACAGCCCGTGGCCTGTACCTTTTGTTGCGCTGTGTTTGGCATTTGGCTTTGTGCGGCTGTCAGTGTGTTTGCTCGCCTTCGCCGGTAGATTTATAACTCTGCTCTCTCGCTGTATAGGTGTACGTGGTTGTAGGCATCGCCGCTGTAGCCTTCACTGGTTTCCTTCTAATGTTGGTTATTCTCAAGTTTGGAGGAAACTCCAAGTTCGGCATCAAAGGTAAGACTCCTGACTTCCATCTCCAACTGTGGCATCCACCCTTGGTAGGAGGATGAGCTGATTAGGATTAATGGGGGGAAATGATGGTAATTGCTGTTTGTGGATGTGTAGATCAAACATTTGGGCAATTTAGCTTTAACACGGTTGACCTCATGGATACATGAAAAACACAATTTCAAGATTTATCCCAAAAGTCAGATCACTAATTGGAACTTGATGTTGTGACTAAATTTAGGTTATTAGTATTTTCTTAAGCTTCTAAATGTGATAAATGTGGCCAGTCAGTACAAATGTTGTTTTCAGTTGACTTGATGTATGGTTCCATTTTTTTGAGGGGGACAAAATATAAATCCAGCTTTAGTCTCACTTGTGGGAGACTTAGCTACACATTACATCACTGGGGATGCATGTGACATTTGCCTCGCAGTGATTTTTTTCCACTCATAATGTGAAGTCTGAGTCAAAGCTGGATTATCTACATGTAGAAACAGTGACATGAATCAGTGGACTCGCCTCTCTAAAATTCTTTGATCATCTCGATCTCGTTTAATGCGAGGGCCGTCATGTATCCATGAATGCATCCTTTTTAAGTGGAAGATGCTGTTGTTTGATGGACTTTTAATGGGTCTCAGTCCTGCTGGTGAATAACATGCATGTAGACTAAAATGAACTCCTGTAATCTTTGCCGTTCGGGTGCAAACCTGCTCTGCTGTGGTAGCCGTTGACCCCACTCTCGCCTGACCACAAAGATCACCATTAATCTTCTTTGACACATTTATTATTTTTTTTACGTACCTTTAGCCCAACATGTGGCTACAGATGTAACTAATCTGTTTCCTCCTGTAGTGTTTATCACACTGACCTACGACAGCAGAACTGGTTGCTTGGCTTGGCTATTCTCTCACTGTTATTTCTCACTAACAATAACGCCTGAACAATATTTCCATTCCATTTCTAAATACTGTATCTACTGTAGCTAAAGAACCACTAGCAGACAGATGCTCATCTTTGATTTCTACAGTTTTTTTTTTTTGTCAAGAAAATCCTAAAACACATAAGCTGTGGGATGTGGGAACTGTTTTCTGTGTCTTCCATTCAGTTGACTTTAGTTTGGTTGAAAAGACATAATGCATTCATGATAAGCAACCCAAGAATCCAATGTCCCGAGGAAGTAATTTTGTGCTGTTTAAAGATACGGTTGTTTTAGGAATAAATAACTCTGTGGCGCTGCTTTAACCATTAGCATTTCATGCAGCGAAGGTCCACAATTGACATTCAAATTAGCAACCCAAAACGTGAATGCAAATGTAGAGACAGACATACTGAATGTGTGCCGCCGAGCGTCTGTGTGTTTCTCTCTGTCGCGCTGTTGAAGTGTGGTATTTTGGCAGTGATTGATTTATGGCCCCCCAGAGAGGAAGGACGCAAGACAGATGGAGCAGCAGTATATACATTGTGTGCATATGTGTTTGCATTTACGGTCTTGCGTGCGGTTTCTTCTTTCTCCAGGAGAGGTGAATGAGGTTGCTCTGAGGGAGATTAGCTCTCTAATGCCTCTTACCATCATATATATATGTGTGTGTGTGAGGGGTGGGAGGATGATTATTGCTCATGTTGTGGGGACCTAAATCTGCTTACTCAGTCACATTATAGGGACGTCCTTATGGCGACAAGTCCCCATACGGTACATCATCGAGTTTTCAGGTAAAGACAGACTCTTAAGGTTAAAGTTTGGGTTCAAAAAGTTGTAGTTGTGCTTAAGGTTAGAGTAAATCTCCAGGAAATGAATGTAAGTCAGTGTAATGTCCCCTGAAGTCACGGAAAGACAACTTTGCGTGTGTTTTCTCATATGTCTTAAGCATTTTTGCATGTGTACGCACTTCCATTCATGTGTAGGATGTTAGGTCACATTACGGTTTTTCCCTTCTGATTGATCCCCTCGAGTCGTCATCCTCCTCTCTTTCCACCGTCGACCTTCCTCTCCCCATGCGGTCCCGTCCTTATGCTCCACATACATCCAGATGTATATGCCCTGCAGCGTGTTGACTTTGAGGTGAGCGAGCGGAGCGAGAACCCGAGAGATGGCGGCGTCAGCATGAAACGTGGAGTCAGACAGAGCGTTGGACAGCTGCGAGCAATCCGCGGCACCAGTTGTGCCCACATAACTGCTGTTTGTTTGAAATTTCTGCATATTTCCCGAGCAAACCGATGACCGAAGGTCGTCCCGGCAGCCGTAATAAAGCCGCAGACGGCAGCACATCGCCGGCGCTAATCTAAAACAAACAGCACTTTGCCATGGCAGTGCGGTTTTTCTAAATCACGAACACGTGCAGGCAGATGCACATACGGCCCCAAATGAACTGCTGATGATGGTGAATTTGTGATCAGAAAGTGTGAAGAGAGCGCGTCGGGCCTCGCGCCGCACTGAACAGGTGTGCAGCGAAAAAGCATCACCCGCCTCACTGACCTGGATGAATCGCTGACCGTCTCTTTCTGATAGTCCAGTTAAAAGCTGTAGCAGGGTTACATTATTTATATTGACTGCATTATTCTGCTCCTCTCTCATGAATAACACATGGGCAACATTTGGTACAGGTTTCCTCACATGATCTCCTTGCTGCTTTGTGACACAGGTGATTTTGTGTACTGTATATAGTTGTGTACGCTCTTGTGTTGACGGAACAGCAGCTCAAAAGAAATAAATTAAAGATTAGCAGTTTTATGAGTGAGGGTGTTGAGATTAGTCTGAGTCAACAGATGTAGGTTGGCCTGTCTCTGCCATGTAGTTCAAGCATCTTCTTTCGTGTCTACATGTTAGTGTTCTTACTACAGAAAACACATTTTTTAAAACTTTGTTCATGCAGTAAGGAAGCCCTGCCAGTTGTTCTCAGTTAATTAGACATTTTACTGACAGCGCTTGCCTCCTTGTTTGCAAATGTTCTACCTAAACAATTCCCCCGTCACTACTTGAACGTTGTCACTGCATCCTTCGCTAAGCCACGGCCAAGATAACTGTGATTGGTCCAAAGAAATACAAACAAACCAGAAGTTTGGGGTTTATTTTTTTTGCCCCTATATCAAAATGACACTGATGTTCTTTGGTGTCTTTGCATTTTCTATGTTAAACCTTTTGCACAAGTCACAATAACTAAATATCAAAGTTCTGACACACACAGACATGGAGCACCATCAGCATTTATTTGAAGTCATGCACGTGACTACCTTTCATACCTTGGTGCTGTCCAAATCGTGAAGGGAATCTCTCTTTTTTCGCTGCTAAAGGAGCAGATTTTCATCAGCTAGCTTTGCCTTTGTGGCAGAAAACAGCTTTTGAAAATGTGATGGGTAAAAGTGACGTTGTTGGATGTAACATTAAAACGACGGATTAAAACTTGGTAAAAGAATGAGGGTGAACTGCAGACTCTCATTACGTCGATTGTTAATATCGATTGTAGCAGCAGAAGAGGCGAAATTAACGTTAAAGGTGCTTGAACATTAAATTGAGTTCTTCTTCATCTTCCTCATACAATAGAGATGAATGGGATTTCTCCTGTGGCGGTGCTACAGCATTAAAAAATACATTTCAAAAGCAAAACAACAGCACATCTTTATAGAAACCACTGTATGTTCCAGTTAATCCGCACAATCATAAGACCTTACCGTGAACTTTTAATGACAGTGTCATTCAGAGTAACGGTGACGTTGTTTTTTGGTAAAATGTGGTGCTTTCAGGCGCACGGCGACACAACAGAATTTATCAGACGCTTAGAGGTTACCGGATTATTTTGGATGTTGGATTAGAGATAGAGACACTGAACGGTGAAAATTCTCTCACCCTTTTAGTTTTCGTGGTACTTGTCCGTATCATTTAAGATCCAACCTGCTCCCAAATAAGACTAAACCTACCTGATCAATACAGCCCCAGAGAGAAAGCAAATCAGGTTTGGTGAGACTAATTGTGCGGTCTGCCACATTGTCTGAGTCTGGGCCCAGAATACCTCACTAAAGGCTGCATTTCCTGGACGAGTCCCCTTTTGCCACAAATTGTCTGACAAGCAAAGCAATCTGCTTGTATTTGTGGAAAAAGAAAAATGAATATGGGCATGTAGAAGTGAAAGTTTTATTTCTTCAGCACTATTTTGAAGGATAAACCCAAAGTACATGTCTACTGTTCATTAGGGGTTGATTTCATGTGAACATAAATGCAGCACACAAAGACATAATGGATTTTTTTGAAGGTCCAAGGGTCTACCAATGTGGCCAACTGGGATTTGTCCCAGTAAAGCCCAACGGCCTCTTCACTGGCAGCCACATGCGTACACGGTGCAGTGCTGCGAGAATGAAAACCCAAGGACTTGATAAAGAATGAAAGCAGGCTGTCCTACATCGGACAGTTGGAAGAATACGTTCCACCAAATTGCGCGTAACGACCCTCCGAAACTGACTGGAGACTCCTGACAGGAAGCAGCTCAGACAGCGCAGAGCAGAGAGGGAAGGACGTAGCAGCATCTATATATGTGTTCATGCCCTGGAAGCACCTGTAGGGAGGGAAGCATCAACATAAACCCCAGTTCTGATGCAGGAACAAGACAGAAATGTCAAGACGGGAAAGAAATGAGTGATTGAAAGTGAAACAGTAAATGTGAAGGGGGGCGAGCGAGTGAGACACAACTGCAAGAAGAGGAGAGAGAGAGAGAATGCCAAAATTGACTTTTGACAAGAAGTCAGATTGAGGAAAACAGAGAAAGACGGCAAGGAAGTGAGAAAGAGAGCGACACTGAAAGAAAGAGATGAGATGGGGAAAGGAGAGTCGGTAGTTAAAGTAGGTGTTAGAGAACAGATTGAAAAGACAGAGCGAGGCAACGAGAAAAAGAAAATCTGAAGGAAGGAAGGAGATGAAAGGACTTATCAATGATTCATCATTAGTGCAGGTTTCAGTTTTCTCCTTGTTTGGTGGAGTTGCACGCCTCCATCTTTCTCTCTCTCTCTCTCTCTCTCAC